TGATGTGTTAGACTATATTGCAAGTAGCCTACATCAGTTTTTACCCTAAATCCCACTTTATCTGCTGATATTTCAGTCATGCAATTCAGTAACAGGCTCATTAACACTTAAGTTAACCAATTATCACGAAGCAATGACATTTTAAAATATACTGGGGTTCTACGCTAAGCTTACAACTGTTTAATACAATGTAGGCTACTGTCAAAAAAATAAATAAAACACGAGCTAACTGGCAGAAGTAGTGTGAAAATGACTTGTGCTAGCTGTATTTTCTGTTTTCTTCTTACCTCTGCGGCACTAACTGTCCTCCGCTGCAGCAGCCGAATTTAAACCTTTTGAAAAGAGTTCGGTTAATTTTACGGATTTAGCAGCGTCGGACCTAAGCCCTTTTTTTTTTTTTCTCTCAAAGTTTTTCTGCACCGCCTTTCCTTTTTTTACGGTCCATTTTCTAGCTTTTACTGAAAATTAGCTCGTGTTGCAATCTCTCTGATGACGTGCTTGAATTTGACTGAACGAACCGGTCGGCCCATCTCGGGACCAGGCGGCCAGCCGTTGCCGACTGGGCCAAATCAAATGCTTAACATTTATATTAACATTATTTTATTATTACTATAACCATAGAGAAAGTGTGCAAGCGATAAAAAAACCGTCCTATGCACTGTTGACCCATGCTAACAATTTTATTTATATATATATTTAGAAAAAATCTGACTGGCCCATATTAAACAAAATGGTCCGGCCCCTCTGGCGTTTGCCAAAATTGCCAGATGGCCAATCCGCCCCTGGCTTAAGGTACGTTTTGGGGCGGTTCAGAATTCGAATGTCTGGGGAGTGTCACTAAAATGCTAATGTTTGACTGTGTTGGAAATATTCCCTACACCAAACCCAACCCTAAACCTTGCTGATAATGCAAAAATGCATTCACTGATGCAACCGTGCTATTTAAGCTTCCTTTTATGTGGGTTTGAGCTGTAGAACTGTAGTTTCATTGGATTTTTACCAGAGCACTTCACCTCACAAGTGCAACGCCGTATCGGGTGAGCTACCGAGCAAACCTACTGAATTAGAAAACCCATACATATGCAGCTGTGTATGTGATGCTAACTGACGTAATTGTGCGAAAATTATGCTTTGTTAATCAAAACTTTGGCCCTGTAAATCATACTCTGTGTGAAAAGGAATAAAAGTTGTCAGAGTTCTACTGCCTCAGCGATTTGTACGTATAGGTACGTGTTTTGAGTTTTGCTGATTCGCCACTAGGCGGTGCTGTCTGTGAACCCATGAACCACCATCTGTCGCTGCATACAAAATCACAAACAATCATTCAAAAATTATGTCTATATAGTATGAATGAAAATCGGACATATGTTGAACATCTGATATGTTGTCCTTGTAATGTGTCAGTTGCGTTGCTTCATTTCCATTCACAAATCCTCTCCTGTGGCCTCATGGGATAGTAAAGTGTCCATCAGATGCACACTTCAGAATCCTACCGGAAGTAGTAGGTCATCTGTGTATTTTTCATCTGTTTTATGAATACTATGAATTTGGACATAATACTATATAGTATGGAAGTAAGCATATATATGGGCACAGTGTATGATTTTTTTTTTTTTTTTACTGTTCTTTGATCAATTTAATAAATTTATAGACATTTTAATGACACATTTGTATAATAAAAAGGAAGAGTTATGGTTAATAGTCTCTTATTGGCCCAATTACCAAACTCTCCATAAAACAAACAAGTCCTACAATTTAATAAACAAATACAGACACTTCATATTTAGTAGTATTAGATTATTTGTAATTACATATAATAAATGAAAGTAAAAAAAAACCCAAAAAAAACATTTGCAGTTGGTTTGTGATTTGTTGTTTGGTTTTTGATGCATGTTTGAGTTTACCTTACATTTACACCGTTCTCACCAGCAGGCGTCACGAGTGTGTGGCGTTTCTAGAGCTTCAAAACAGTGAATCGTTTTGTGAAGCAATTGGTTCAGTTAGCTCAAAGTTTCGAAAGCTTTGTTTCTCCCATCACTAGCTAAAAGGCTTTTTTGTTCTGTATGTCTCCCTATAGGTGAGGACGATAGCCTGGCCTTTAAGGGGAAAGTTACAGTGGAAGAAATCTTCAAGAAAGACTTCAAAGTTCATGACCCGAACGCTAAGTGGATCAGCAGTAAGTGCTCTCATCAGCAGACATTTGATTTCCTCTATTGCGGTTCTTCCTTTATCTGCCCATTATCTGATACGATTGCAGAGATTATCTCAGCATTCAGTCACAAACGTACTATAATTCTCATTGTGCACATAATCAATTCCGAGAGGCAGTGAAATACAGGCTTGTGCATTGCTAATTTCCTCTTCAAGGTAAAACGAAAGTATTGATTGTTTTTTTTTTGTTTTTTTTTGTCTTGAATTTCAAATATTTGAGAATCAAGATCTTCCTGAAACCCAAACAAAGAGGTTTTGGTTTAAAGAGGTAACAGTTTCCAAGTACAGTGACTGCAAAAATGATCTGAACATATAGTAATGTCTTGTCTGATTGCATGTAATAACTTTAGATGACATAATCGTAATAAGTGGAATTTATTTTGAAGAAAAAAGCATCAGCATACTTTTCAAACAAAACATTACAAAATAGGTTTGAAATTATAGATATAGTGTTAAAAATGAGACAAAAAAATATTGTGACACTTTGTGGTTGTGAAATGTGTGGTTTGATCATCTGCAAGGACACCTGTGTGAACTTGAGAAATTATATCATACATCCACTAACCCTTGTGAAAAAGAAGTACACTTGTGTACTTATTACAAAAATAATGTACTTTAAAAAAGAGATTGCATGTTAATTGAGATGTTAATTGCAATTAAATTAAAATTTATAAGGTTTAAATTTATATTAAATTCAGTTTGCTGAAAATGAGTTCAACCCATTTAAGTAGGACTTGCTTACGTCTTTATATATCATTTCATAATTACTTTTAAATAATCATTTTATTTGTTCTTTAATTTATGTTTAAAGTGTACTGCCGATTGTACTGACAAGCAATTATGTTAAATTAATAATTTAATGTCATTATACTGAAAATGATAATATATGTAATATATTTATTTCAATATATATATATATATATTTATGTAATATATTTAAATGTATTTGTAATGACATTTGTAATGATGAAGTTGCAATTTATTTAATTTAAAATATGTTTAGTATGTTTGTATAACTTTAAATGCAATATCAAATGCTAGACTACAGTTAAAATTATAATCAAATATTTTACTGTACATGTGTACTTCTTTACTTCTACTTTAAAGCATGAAAACTATTAAAACTTGTAATCCTTAATGTTATATATTTTATTTTGTATTTGATTTCATTAATATTACAATATCTACAAGCAAATTTTTTATATACTTTTTAAGGTTACACTACAAGTCACATTCATTGCAATTAAGTAGCCCAAATAAAATTTTTACTAGTGAAAAAAAAAAACATGGTAATCCTTTGCAAAAACGGCTCAGAAAAGTTATGCAAAAGTTCAAATGACCTGCTTTGATATGATTTCTTATGAAATAACCATTCAGACTTGTTTAAGTGGGTCTGAATGTTTCCAAATTGTTTTTGGGGCAACTCTACAATACTGAATGAAGTCAGAATGAGGGTGATTAAATCTTTGTGGACATGTGTCTGGATTGTGATGTCTTTTCCTCATGCAGACAGATGACTTGATGTGAACGGAGGGAGGCGTTTATCAGCGGATAGATTAATCAAGCAGTCTGATTTGGTTTGAGCTTCATTGAGCTGTCTCCTCTAATCAGCTGCTTTAGGCTGTGCAGATATGGAAGCTCTCTTCATGCTCTAGTCCCAGCAACAAACGCTTCAGAGAAAATTAAATGCATATTGCACACAAAAATGGCAAAAACTCACTGAAGTTGTTTATTTATTCATGTCACTTAATTATTGCCTATTATTGTGGTATCATCAATTTCAGATTTACTTACCCTTAAAGTGAGCATGAAATGAAAATTCACATTTAGCTGTTTCTAAATGATGTTATTGATCTTACTGTGAACATTTCATTCATGCATATAGATTTATTTATTTTTTTACCTAAACAAATAGTGATTTTTAATCAAATTTCTGGTGAAATTATAAACTTCTTGCTTGTAAAGGGATAGTTCACCCCAAAATTAAAATTGTTGTCATTTGCTGTACCAAAACTGCATGACTTTCTTTATTCTGTTTCCATGCTTTTTCCTTGCAGTTACAATGAACAGGGACTGACGTTTTCCAGCGTCAAAAAAGACACAAAAGCACCATTAAAGTTTAAAGTGATCTATACATTTTGTGTGCTACATTCCAAGTCTGATGTTATGCAGTAGCTTTGTGTGAGAAACAGAGGAAAAAAATCTTGCATTTGGGAATGGTAATGATGTCACAATCATTTCCAAGCATAACTTTGACTGCAGTATAATCGTGGTATGCAAGACAACCAAAACAGCAATTATATCTGACCTGCAAGTCAACAAAATCTATGTCACTCAGTTTGTAGATTTAAAGCACAGTGATGATAATTTTGCTCATTACAATTTTGTTCACATTCCTGCATTGCAGCTATATGGAGGCATCAGCAGACCCTCATCACTCTCACACAGGAACATTAACTCAGCGCTCACAGTCATTAATCTCATTTGGCTTTGATTCGTAACATAACAAAGTGCAGTTCACCGCCTAGCAAGCGGGTGGAGTAATTTAGCTGGAAATTATGGCACAATGTCTCTGCTCTCGTATTGATTGATGCTCTGCCCATTTTTCACACCATCATTTTAGCTCGTTATCGTTCATGTCAGTCCAGCAAAGGTAAACAGATCTGTCGGAAAGTAATGAACTGAAAGGTGATGAGAAACCTCTGCCTCTCTGCTTCAATAATGAGTTTTACAATTTCAAATACTGTTCTTTCTTATTTCCACATTTGCCTTTTTGTATTAAATGTTTGTTGCGTTGTTTTTAGAATCACTCTGGGTAATGTGGTACTTTTTGAGTTTACACCATGTCACTGTTACTTTTTTACTTGTTTTTATTTAACTGGTAGTATTAAAAAAATCTATACAAAATAGTTAACAAATTAAAAAGAGCAATACTTTTACAGCATTTATTAATCTTGTTAAATGTTTCTTTCTATGTATACTATTTAGGGATGCACCGGGCCCGATACTGGTCTCCTGTACTCGTACTCGTACTCGTACTCGTTAAAATGCCCACCCAATATTTAAAAAATGTACAAATGCAATAAAAATATTGGTATCGGTACTCGGTATCGGCAATACCAAAAATAAAAGTATCGGTATCGGGCGAGTACTGGAAAAAGTGGTATCGGTGCATCCCTAATACTAATACATTACTTTAAACATTAAAGTTAAAAATGTATTAATATAAGGAACGTTATCACTGCCAATAGCCTCGTGGGCAGCGTGTCGACATGCGGCGCGGTTGCGCTTTGGTTTCGCTTCGGTCGTCCCGAGTTCGAGTCCTGGCTTGCGGATCTTTCCCGATTCCCATTTCACTTCCTGTCCTCTCTACACTGTCCTATCAAATTAAAGGCAAAAACAATAAAAATAAGTATTTAATGTAAGGAATGTTAACCTTAGTTATTAGCATTATAAGCTAACAATGAACAATAGTACCTTTTTCAAAATCATCACCAGTGATCTGGCCATCAGTGATCGGATTTGTGAATTTTCGTAAAAACTCCCATTATAATCAATGACACACTTTACACTGCTAAACGAGTCTCTTATTTACATTTTGATTTTACTGTTAGTTATGATGAAAGTATTCGTGAGATCTTCGCAGCAATGCAACCTTTGATGCCAAGAGAGTAGTTCTAAATATAATGTGATAATCAGCACTTTAAATGTATTTAGCCAAATTTCTTCAAATGGGCAAGAAAATACATTTTCGTGCAAATACATGCAATTTCCATGTCTAGTTTGGGTACACTGATCATATATTTTTGGCAATATACAAAAACAAATGGGGCAATACCATTTTTTTTTTAATCATGTGCCATGGGATTAAAAACTTTCTGAAGAGAAACCTGAACAGTAGGAAATGTGGGATATGACACGGTTTGTCACCATTTTAATATGATTACGCGGCTCCCCCATGACTCACCTGCAGTGAAATCATAAATGTATGTAAAGACTTTGGCCCTGCCACAGTCAGTTAGAGAAAGGAAAGAGCACTGCTTTGGCCATCATTGGCTGATTATTTGATCTTCGTTAAAGTGTCAGAAGCACTTAGTTGGGCAGATCCACAGAAAGCAGGGCCCATAGTTCCTATTTGGAACATTAGCTATTACTTGATTTCCAAGGACAAGCCAGAAATTGAATTTTTGTAATACTGAGTTGGTGCAGAATATGTTTTCCTTTTTATTTTTTCCCCCAAAGAACTTTCCACAACTCATCAATCAAAGTCAGAACGTCACAGCTGATGCAGCTCATACTGAATGAATCTATAAATGAATCAATGATACAGGTAATTTATTTACACAGGCAAAGCCTTTCTCTCCCTTGGGCTTCTCTGTCCATCGACCACTTGCTTCCATCACAGAAATCTAGTGTTTTCAGAAGTGCTCTGGTAGTAAAACTCTGACAAATGAAAACAAATAGAACACTTGGATTTCTTCACTGCCTTCAAGGAAACATAGACTATTATGAAGAAATAGGATTACGTTCAATCCAGGAAATAAAAGCTCATGACGTCCCTCTGATAGGGTTAGTTCATCCAAAAATGAGAATTCTGTTACCATTTACTCACCCTTATGTTGTTCTAAACCCATTCGTTCATCTTCAGAATGCAAATGAAGGTATGTTTAATATTCTCTCCTAATTTTTTTGGCCATCCATTGAAAATGATCAAAGGAAGCTCAAACGTACATGCTTGACATATTCCAGTGCATCAAGCAAGCATCAAGTTTGAGCTTCCATTGACCATATTTGATGTTCGCTATGTATGTGCGTTGATCAATTATGTGAATAAGAGCCTAAATTAAATCTGTTCATCATATAAAGCGATCAATTCTCTGAAGAAGATTTGGATTAAACTGCTCGATTCATATGGATTACTTTTATGATGTTTTTTGAAACTATACTTCCAATGGATGGACACAA